GTCGGAGTTATAGTTGATGGAAGGCTGATAGTCGAATTTTACGAGCACAGTTTCGACATGTGACCTCCATGAATGTCAGTAAGTTGCAGAGAAGTCAAGAATTGTAAGAGATTCTACAACTCTTCCACATAATATATATAGGGGAATTGTAGATGAGGAAATTTCTTATCTTAGCATTACAAACGACTAAGTGAACTTCAACAGCACCGTGATGTTTATTTATATAATTGAAGAAAAATTCAACTCTTGGTACTTCCTCATCTTACGTTGTATCTAGTTGTATCTCAGTCAGGAGAATATAAAGAGGCTCTATTCTGTCTTTAAAGCAATCTTCCCTATGCACAAGTCGGTCTTTAATGGAAGGCCCATTAAAGCAGACCTTATAAATATCTAATTATCCTCAAGTAATTATTTGCCAGAACAATTTGATATGAAGTAAAAGGCTCTATAAATGAGTATATATCATGCTCCAATTGAGTGAAGTTTTTTGTCAATTTATTTGTTAAAAAAATACTTTTTTTTTACGCAACTTAGTTATGTTTTCCGCTTTAAATATTGTCGAAATAGGTCATTTAAAGCAATTCTTCAGCCTTATAAATGGCAAAATATTAATTTGGTCTTGAGTCAATGTCAAATCACTTGTAGAAACTAAATTTACACGTTACCTCTCTGGCATTGGTCAGAGCCCAGATTTCCCTGATTGGTCCAAACGAACATCCTCTCTTATGAATACGTTGTTTGAAGTAAATTGAAAGATATTTACTTTTGTGGGCAACCGAAGGAATTATCTGAGTTCTAATCCCTTAATCGGTGTATACATAAATGCGTAGAGTCAAAGTTTTAACTGCAAATTGCTGCTATTTTTGTCTAGACCTGGTTACATTTGTAGCCATTTTTCGTGTAACCAGCTTCCCCAACTTCTTTGCTTTTCATTCGCATGGAATTACACAATGATCAGTCGGCAGGACAACAGCCAGGGGGGGTGCAATTAAGCCAATTTATTCCTTGTCTCGCCGCTAACCATAGCGGGCGTTCACACCTCAGACTCCATGTCTCGTCTTGGCGAGAAGAAAGCAAGTCAGCCTAAGGATGCATGTGGGTACTCAATTGTTGATAGGCTGATGTATGCTGCTTTTCCCACAGGAATTCCTCTCACAAGAGCACATAGAGCTGTCTATTTAACACTTAGCACCTATTTTCTAGTGCATATCCTGTCTTCGGGATACAGGCTTGTCGATGCACGAGCAGAAAATGCTTGGTGGGCGTCAACTAAAATCCCTCAAAATCTCAGTCTAGGACCGGATGCTCGTGCTCCATCTGACCCAACTATCCCCTTAGATCGGAGCTATCGAAGCTGTCATTTGCGGTCAAACATCACTTTTGTAGTACTCGTCCTGTTTCATCGAGCCTGGAATCTCTCGGATCCTGAAGCTGCTGAACGGTTGCAAAGAGAACAGTCGCGTCTTACAGAATATACGAACAAATTTTCCAACTTAGAAGTGAATAGTGACAAAATGGCTACAGCCTTGAGTAGAACTGGCTGTCATTTGATACCTTTACGATTCAAGATTTGGGCTCACCAGTTGGCCGATAATCCGGAAGCAGGTTATCTGGGTGCCGGGGTCCTGACTTGGATGCAGAAATTGGAGGAGCGCTTTGGAAGCCCCGGAAAGTTAAGAGGCCCAGTGGAGGAGTATCCGCATTTTATAATATCTGAACGAATCAGTCCCCAACTCGCCTGGGCCGCTAGTCAGTTTCAGGTGCCATTACTCGGATGTATCGGTGAAGAAGCAGTGCCTGGCCAACCAGTAGGTTACTGCGGCTTGGCAAAAGATTTGGCATCAAGTAAAAATATGCACTGTTAACGAACATCTTAGGCAACATTTGCTATTTCCCCACTCATAATATGTTCATAGAAATACTCCGATATTAGGCTTATTACGCTGTACAACCTCTTTGAGCCTAATATCTCATCTTAAAGGTATATGGCACTAATAGTCTTACATTTACATGTTGGGTGAAAAGTAATTAAGTAATATCGCCTTCCATGGTATATTAAGTCAATTTTCTCTTCGAAAAAGCCATTTTCAAGATGAAAGCTGATTTTTGTCAGGCTCTGCAGGTTTTTAAATTACAATAAGTACTCTTTCGTTGCTGGATTTTTCACTAATCCTTTCAATACACATCCCTATTGTCATCATTCTAATCCTTAAATGGATGATCCTATTACAAGAAACGTAGATTCTGTGTAGATTAATATTGCGCTGCATAAGATGATAAGGCACTGAAATCTCGAATGATATCATAACTAAGGTAATGTGCTAACACCAGCTTTTATTTTGGCAGAATGAATGTAAAGTTCTGCACATGTCAATTATATTTATAATAATATTGAAATATATTTTTATTTAACTCTTTATAAAGAATTAGATTAGCAATAATTGAAAAAAAAAGAATTTGAAAACATAATTTTGCCATCGAATGAGTAGGTGTATACATTTATTCCCTATACGACTAGTCATTTGCATATGAATGCATATTTATAATAATATTTTTAGGTAA